AAATTATCAGTAGTCAGAATCCACCTTACCTTGAACAGTTTCTAAAAAAAAGATGTGAAATGCAAGGTTACGACATTAGATCAAAAGAAAATTTCAATATACAAAGAAAATTTAAAGGTTTAGAAAAGTCAATGTTTGTTGAAGGTCTAAAAATGTACAACAATCTGCCTACTAATGTAAACACATCTAGTAATGCTAAAATTTTCAAAAAGAGACTTCGGAGAGACTATTTTGGTTTGATGTAACGTAAATTTAACATATTTTTGTAAATAATATTTATTATTGTTTGAAGTAGCTTAAAGCTAAATAAATCCTTTCTGTTCTATTCTATACAGGGTGACTTCGAAGTTGAGTCATTTATTTTAACAGTGAGTAGATCTGATCAAAAGAAATGTTTTTTTCCCTTAACATTTTTGTGGTAAAATTAAAGTAACAAAGTTATAGCCCTTTAGAAGTGTGAGTACCGCCCTGCCTCAATAATATTATGTGCTCCTGTTTGGCGACAACGGATATACTCCGCCTTATCGGTTCTTCACATCGGAAACAAAAAAGCGAAAGAATTTGAAACGCTGATCACGATGTTTTTATTCAGTCTGTGTCAGTCGGTAACGCGTGAGTGAATAGTGGTGATTGCTGCGTTGCTCAAACGAAATAAAAAATGGCACATATTTATGCGGATCGGTTTCCCAATCGAGTGCAACCAACCCCTCGTGCCTTTGTTAATGTAGTACAACGGGCTCGTGAATCAGGTGACTTAAGACCACACAGGGGACTGCATGCCGGTGGTCCAAGACCTCACGATCAAATACAGGTCCGCACTGAAATACTTGTCGGGAGGATACTTTATAAAACAAGGTAAAAATTTTTTTTTAATTTTTTTATATTTTCATACACATATTTTGGTTTATCTTCCTTCTACAATCATTATCTGAAAATTAATGACTCAACTTCAAAGTATAACACACTGTATAGGAATATGAAAATGAAAGAAAAAAACACAGGAAATGTCACCTGGAAGACAGATAAGCAAAATCTATTGTCAAAAAATTGTCATTTCTACCTGAAAAAGGTCACCGTGGTAACAAAAACGTCCTGACAGTAAACAATAATTCAGATATACTCGTATATGTGGTTTCATGTAGCGGTCGATTATTATTAGTATGGAAACCACAGGATAAGTTTCAGGTGCTATATTTCAATTATTCTTTGCGTTCTGTGTAAACGCTAGAGATTGTCCAAAAATTCTTGGATAAAATGAATGCTACAACATTTTAAGTTGTATTCTAGCAGCCATTTCACTGAAGTAGCTGCATTTCTTTAGACTAAATATGATGATTCCGTCTGTCAGACCAAAAGGCAGCGAACCATGGACAGCTATTTTGTGCTTCTTGGCTTCATCAGCATGGTCTCCCGTCTATTGAACAGCGAACAAAAGCATCGCAACTATCCTCTATCCCGGAGGTATATCGTCTTTAGACGTAAACCAATTCATCGCAAGGTCACAATACGTAATACCTATAATACTCTTGCGACCATTTCACTATTACACAGGCTGGGTGATTGTAGTACGTTGTATAGAGTTCAACGATAACCACGACCTACCTACCTACTGAAACTGGGACTATCTAGATCACACATTTCGGTCATCTCATTGATGACTCTTTCGTGAGGTGGAATTAAAAAACACAAAAAACCATCACGTGTAGGCCGCAGAAATAATGGGATAATCGGTTAATCCGCAAATCGGGATCAGATTAGATCTTTCGGCGTGAGACAGAACCAACTGGTCTGATGCCGTGTCCAAAACCCACATAGATCGTATATACCAGGGTCATTCGGGTTCAACTTGATTTATAATAATTCTCAGAATGAGTTATATAACTAACCATCAAAAATTAAAAATGATTGTATGCTAACACAGTGGTTGCCACAAATCAGAATTATAATGTCAAATAACTGATTAAACTATGACAGATGCAGTGGAAAAAGGAAAAGATTTTTTTCAAAAACCCAACCAAAGAGAAGGAATTGACGAAATACAAAAATATAAACAAAAAATATTAAACCCAAGAAAACCCGTCACAGGCCGCCACTTCCTGCCCTAAACTACTCCAAATTAAAGTTCAAACATTTCCCTAAAAGATTCCGAAGAATATTTTAGACTTACTTTATTTTAAAGCGATTTTCAACCTTGCTTGGTAAGCATTTTCGCAGACTGTACATAATACATAATAACTTTTTAATACATTTTATTTAGAGCTGAGGACTGTGGCAGCCACCGTTATACTTTTTTGGGTTCAACGCTTTTTATTTTAAACGTTTCGTTACTTTCTTCTTTTTAGGCGAAGTTTTTCAAAAACATGTTATCCCTTTCCACTACGCCCTTGTGGAATCATTCAAAATTTTTTATTTTGTTTTAAGCTCTTTAGAGACCAATATATGTTTTATTTAGTCAATTACGTTTATATCATAGCAGAATACGATCTATCCAGGTGCCACCATTCAAGCAATAGTAAAATAATGTTTTTGTTTGGTAACCAATGAATTCTTTTAGTATTTTGCAAAAGATATATACGAACGAAAAAAATATTAGAAAGTTGACTTCAGAGCCTGTGCCACCTCCCGTGTGGTATTTATGGAAAAGTTGCTATTTGAGATCTGGTCTGATACACGAAACAAATGAAATATAATAATTTTCAAAGTCGTATTATACATTTTTGGAATCAAAAACTCTACTCATCTGTGCAAAAACCTCTAAGAGAAAATAAAGTTGATGCTGGAGGACAAACGTCATATTGAAATTCTAGTTATGTCATCTTGTAGAGGAAAAGCGGCAATGTACTGAAATTCCACTATAATTAAAGGAAAAAATTAAAACGATTTTGTAAAATTACGTTTTTTTTCGTCTCTGCCCGAAAGTACCTTGAATTTCGAAACTTCCTGAGCAGCATTTTGTTGATTACCTAAATACGCAACTTTGCCCCCATTGGTGAAGGCCGAATATGAACCGGAGGAAGATTGACATACAGTAGTGGACAAAAGTATATAGACAAATATGAATATTTACCTAAATACCTTTAGAAAACGAATTCATTGCTCCATAAACAAATGCGTTATTAGTAGAAAAACTAAATTCTTTGTTTTTACATTATCTGCAATGAACACAATACAAGTCTGAATATAAGCACTTTTTTATGAGGGACAAAAATATGTAGACAAATTCTTTTCAACATTAGTTAAGTACAGTTTCGTGTCAGAAAAGGATTAGTTTGTGTTCATCAAGTATTGTGGAATAAGTTGAGTGATTTTAAGACCATGCCGCGTAGTCCAGAAATTTCTTTCGATGTGAAAACTAAGATCATTGAGTTATACAAAGATGGTCAACGTCAAGTCGACATTGCCAAAAATTTTAAGCTGAAGCGTAAAGCAGTTTGGGCAATATTGACCAAATATAAGCAAAACGGTATCTTGGAAGCCTCTAAGAGAAGTGGTCGGCCTAGAAAACTAAATGCTACATCAGTTAGATTAATAATAGCAATTTCGTCCAAAGATCCGTTTACAACCCCAAGACAAATAAAAGCCGAAATCGAGACAAAAGGAATTGTTTCTACGAAAACTATGAGTAGAAGATTAAATGATTTGAAGTTATTTGCACGTCGCCCGTCTAAGAAGCCGCCAATCTCGAGGAAAAACCGTAAGTACCGATTACAATTTGCACGGTTGCATCTTGATTGGAGCATCTGTGACTGGAAGAGGGTATGTTTCAGTGACGAATCCAAGTTCAATATGTTTGGATCAGATGGTGTTCATTACGTTAGACATCCTAGTGGACAAAGATTGAACCCCAAGAACACGTTGCCCACTGTCAAACATGGAGGCGGGTCTCTTATGGTTTGGGGATGCTTTTCGGGGTTTGGGATGGGACCTTTACATAGAATAGATGGCGTTATGGATGAGTTTGTATACACACTAAAGCATGTCATGTTACCCTTTATGGAAGACAATATGCTCTTAAGATCAATCTTCCAGCAAGATAATGACCCGAAGCACAATTCAAATCTCGCAAAGAAATTCTTTCTGGATGAAAAAATACCAGTTCTCAAATGGCCTTCACAGTCTCCCGATGAAAATCTATGGGAATACTTAGATAAGCAAATACGAGATAAAAATTATTCAAACAAGGATGAACTTTTTGCCGCTTTAGAGCAAAAGTTGAGACAGATTGATGCATCGTATATCAAGAAACTTCTACAATCTATGCCGAGACGGTGCCAGGCGGTAATAAGAATGGTTATGCTACAAAATATTAACACAAACATGGTTGGTTTTCCAATTATAATCCAATGAATTTTGCTTCTTTTTTCTATAATTGTTTTGCTTTGTCTATATATTTTTGTCCTTCATTGTTCCAGTTTTTTTCAATTAATGTTTTTATTGAAGGGAGTCTAATGAATTTATTTATGTATAAGTGAGTATTATGCTATAACGAATTATGTATACAGATTGGTGTATTAATAAAAAAAGTTAAAAAAGAAATACAGCACAATATTAATTTGTCTGTAAACTTTTGTCCATTACTGTAGGTACACCGCATCGCTGGACCGGGTTGATTCAACAATCAGTTACGAGAGAGTTGACTTGCGGAGTAGTACTGGTCAGTTGTCAGGCTTCTTTTCCCCACTACCACTACTATAAGGTCTTCGCTTGACTGTCAGATTACAAATTATCAAGTCCCGTAATATTGAGATCCAGATACTAGAGTAGTTCCCCTGTCAATGTGCTCAAGCTGATCCACTCTGAATCTTATTCCCAATGTATTCGCAGTGGTCCTCCAAATATCACCTTTATTACTGCGATTTCGGTACCTACAATTATCTAGATTGGGATTTACTTTGGACTTGCCCAACGATATATCAATTTAAAAGCACCAAGTTGTGAAGCAATACACATCAGAGCCTTGAACAGAAGGTAAAGAATTTTTTGCAATTACAATAATTTAGATCGCTACCACCCTCGTACTTGAAAGCAACAGAGATTGATTGGACAAATAATACGAAGAAAAAAAGTGTGAGAGAGAAATCCTATAAGCGAGCAGGCGTACAAGATCCGATCGAGATCTATATAACGCAATCGAAATGCTGCTGTTGCACAAACCATAATAAGATCACGTCTCTTAATACTACTTACTATGCTACCAGTGTGGTATGCATATAGGCAAGACATGGCGCTTCTTACACAATATCTTATGGTAATTACAACTTCTACGCGTACGTAGATCCATAATGGTTAATATATTTTCAAATGATTTGAAAGGTTCATTTGGACCTTCACTATTTTTCCATTACAGATGTCATTAGATTGGTAGCACTTTTCAATTCAATTCAAAGCAAAGCAATAATGCATACACCTACCAGTGAACTTTCATATTTGTCACAGAATGAACATTATTTAGTTTATACTATGACAGATAGACAGGACCAAATGTATGACTGAATTATTGAAAGAGCTGTTTTACTTAAATGTTTACATACGTTCATGAACATACGTAAATAAGTTCATGAAAATTTAGTTTACACAATATGTACCAAGTAATTTACAAGAATCCGATAAAACAAGATCAGACATATTCAGGTCTAATTGTACGTTGGAAGTTAAAATTTATAACTAATTAATTAATTAAAATTTTATTCTAAATATAGGTAATATTTTTGGTTTCTTTAAATGTTTATGGCAAAAAACAAAGCCGATGCGGGTATTTTTAAAGCGTTTCTATTTCGAAATTATCTTTTTTTCAAAATGGTTTGTGTATAGCAAAATACGTGATTGCGAGAACTTAGCTGTTTATTCGTTTCGACAAAATAAAGGTAGGCTATGTGAAACAAATGATAACGTTTTACGTTGCTAAGAAGCTGATGTTTGACGTTTAAATCAACTTTCATGCATTGGTTTGTTGTTAACAATTAAAATGGCTGGTGGTCGTAAAGCTGTTTCTGACGAAATAAGAAAAGTCATTAGTCACGAGCATTTAAAAGGCCAAAATGCTTCCCAAATCGCTGACACTGTCAACAAATCGAGGTATAAAGTTCTGAATATTATTGAATTGTAAAGGGTAGGCGATCAGTTTTTTTTTTAAGTTGGTATTATTTTGACAGTTGGTAACACTTCCATACTCAACATATAGACAGATATGTTGTGTCAAACTTCCCCTGTAAGCAACGGATCGTTTTAATCTTGAAAAAAGTTGGGAAATATTGAGAAAACTATTTTCAAAGTTCCATTTCCATCTGGGAGGTTACTTTAACAAGCCGAACTGTAGGATTTGTGGTTCTGAAAATCCACATGTCATAGAAAAACCAATGCATCCAAAAAACTGTTTGGTATGGCCTTTGGAGTTTGGAGTTTAATCGTCCCAACTTTTTTCCAGATGAAGATGGTAACAGCGTGACGGTAAACGGGGAAACGCTATAGAGATATGTTGAGGAGTTTTTTGTGGCTACTATTACCCGACATGCATTTGCACAATTTCTGGCTCCAGCAGGATGGCACAACATGCCACTCCAGCCGTGAAACAATCAATCTTTTACACACTAAGTTCGGGTCATCGCGTTATCAGTCGCTTTGGAGACGTTCATTGGCCAGCATGCAGCTGTGATTTGACGCCCATGGATTACTTCCTATGGGGTACTGTTAAGGACCGCTGTTACACTAACGATCCTCAAACAATTGATGTTCTTAAGGAAACTATTCGTCGAGCTATTGATGAAATAGACCTACAAACTATCGAAAATGTGCTTCAAAATTGGGTTCAGAGGATGTACTACTGCCAGGCCAGCCGCGGCAGATATACTAAGTGACATATAAATCCGAACACCCAGTTTAAATGGTTTTATTTTAATAAAATTTTGTATAAGTACTTAATGAAGCATAATAAGTAAATGATTGCACTGCTTTAAAGCCCTTTGACCTTTAATAATGTGTGGATGCACCCTGATGTGCTACGCATTCTCCAACGCGCCTGGCATGCTTCTGATCAGGTGGTCAATGTCCTCCTGTAACATCTCATTCCAGGCAACCACCAACTCCTCTCGAAGTGCTTCTAGAGTCTGAGGAGGACGTTGCAAATTGAGCAATCTCCTACCCATCATATCCCACACGTGCTCAATTGGGGATAAGTCGGGAGATCTTGGTGGCCATGGTAACAATGTGACATCATTATGTTGAAAGAAGTCTATTGTGACTCTTGCAACATGTGGTCGGGCATTATCTTGTTGGAAAGTTGGATCTGCCAGGGTGTCAAGATAGGGTAAAAGATGGGGTTCTAGAACTTCGTGGATATAACGCTGCGCGTTCATGTTACCTCTGATGAAGATTAAAGGTGACCTGGAACCATAAGCTATAGCACCCCAAACCATAACTCCAATAGTGTGATGAACATGTCTTTCAACAAAAAACTGTGGATTCCTCCTTTCACCACGTCGCCTTCTAACCTAGCACAACCATCGTGCATGCCTAAACAAAATCGAGACTCGTCACTAAAGACAATACTGTTCCATTCCTGATCCCAGAGTGACCGTTGTCTGCACCACTCAAGGCGATTACGTCGGTGTTCTCGAGTTAAAGGGAGGACCCAGTGTGGCCGGTATGAAAACAAGCCAAAACTTCTCATTCGTCGGTAAACACTTCGCATGCCAATAGGTCTTCCGTGTTCTGCAAACCATTCATTTGCAATGGACCTGGTAGTGGAGAAACGGTCCCTTAAGGCCAATAATCTTAGGCGGCGATCTTCATGGTCTGTTATTCTACGGCGGCGTCCAGTGCCTCTTGCTCTTTGCGTACGACCTTCTCGAAGCCATGCCTGACAACACCTAACCAAAGTGTCTACACTTCTTTGCACTCTAACTGCAATTGCCCGAAAAGAAAGTCCAGCTTCCCGAAGTCCCACTATACGGCCCCTATCAAACTCACTAAGTTGACGAAATCGTACAGGTCTCCGTACTTTAGGCATCGTAACCGATCGTAAAGGATGTCAAGAACCAAAATCCGCCAACGTTGATTCTTTACTGCGGCTGAAATATTCATTTTTAGAGCGTTAGTGAATTAAAAAAAAGCAGTATAAAAACCGGAATGTCCAACTGATAAGGCTGAAAATTTTTTCACTTGTTATTTACAGTAAGATAAATACTTTCACCAACTTTTATTAAAATAAAACCATTTAAACTGGGTGTTCGGATTTATATGTCACTTAGTATAATTAACTGAAATTGTTTTTCATAAATAATCGGAAGGTGTACTCTTTTGAATAAAGTATCGAGTGTTACATATTATTGAGTGTAGTTTTAATACCAATTTAAAAAAGAAACCAACGGATCGCCACCCTTTACATACAAAACCACGGAATCTGTGGCTCAAAGACCCAGAACTGGAAGTCGCCCGCGCTATTCCAATACCAACTTAAGAGCCGTAAAAAGGATTATCAAGGAAAATCGGCGTGGTAATTATAACGAATTGAAAATATCAGGCAACCACAAACGTTTTCAAGAGCAACTTGTCACAGAGTTGCCCAAAAAGTGGGATTTACAACTTACAAGGTAGGCTTGAATCATTTTTCTATCATTCGTTTTTAATTCAGTATTTCTAGGTAAAAAAGAAGCAATAAGTGACAAAGATTCAGAATAAAAACTAGCGTAGGCCAAGAAATTATGTTCTCCGAACCAATGGAGCTCCATTATTTGGATGATGAAACCAGATTTGAAGTATGCGTTGGTGATAGTAGGAGTCGTGTTATAAGAACTAAAGAAGTGCTTCAGAATAACTATCTTAAAAAAAGTTAAGTTTCCTGCTTCTTTTATGATTTGAGGATCCATATCAGCAAGTAGAGCGCAAGGTATTATAAATGCTGGTAAGTATATTAATGTGCTTCAAGATAACTTAATACCCCAACTTATTTCAACAAGATGGTGCCGCTTGCCAAACGACTATAAAGTAAAAGATTGTTTGTTAGAAAACAATATTTCAGTCTTAAAATATACGTCGAGTAGTCCAGATCTATCGTTGATTGAAACCTTGTGCCATATCATGAAGAAACCCAACTAGCAAAGTAGTGGTATAAGCTTTTAGTAAAAGAACCGTTCAGCCATAAAAGCTCTCTATTGTTGTTGCCTGAACATCAAAATGCTGGCTTAATGTTGTGTGGAATGCAAATTTGCTTTCTGCAACATATTTGCTCTAAAATCAGGTGTTTAAAATATTCTTTTAGCATAGTTATACAACACCTTATAGGGCAAATTTTTAACTGTTGCATAAACGTTTATACAACTATTTTATACGGCATATTTGCAAGTTAGTCAAAATGGTTGTGTTGTGGGACCTATGCTAACGTTTATAAAACAAACCCGAGCCTTGTTGCTTTGCTGTGCAATTTACTACATTAGCCAACAAATTGCTCCCAACGGAAGCACTTATACAACTGTTACATATGCTAAATATGTTGGTAAGCAACTTCACCATAACCTAACTTTCTGCTGTCATATTTTTGTTAAAATGCCATAACCAATGTTTTAAGACAAACAACGCATGCATATCGGTTCAAAAGGTTTTATGAACTGTTCAAACAGAAGATACAGATCTGGTACAAATTCTGGGTAAATCATTCGACTCTGTCGGTATTTCATTTCAGACATTTGTCAAATTGTTGTATAACACCTGCAGGCAACACCAAAATATTCTAATAACCTAAAGACAACATGGACCATGCCATGATTGTACACAAGCACCCGCCATATTGGGCAAACATTTATTCCTCTATTTAATATTAAATAATTATGTTTCAGTTCGAAATTACAGATATAAAGTGATAAACATTAGTGCAATTGTGTCTAAATATCGGATTTGTGGAAGATTTAAAGCAGATAAGTTCAGTTTTCCATCTTAAAAATCTAGACATACTTTTGATCATTGTCAAAATATGAATCAAATACGAAGCCCGTAGAAATTGGGTAACTAATTTGCACGATAATTACAATAAAATTTGCTGCGCAAGTAATTCAATAGCCCTTTATCAAAGTGTAGAAGTTTATCATATACCTGGGTATGAAATTCACAATGGCCGATATGTAAATAAACAAGATGACTGTAATGTGTTAGTTATATATTCTTCACTTCGTTTATACAATACATAAGAAATAGTTTGGTTGCAATAAAGT